TGTGTTCATCCTGCTTATCTGATACTTCAGTTGCTGTCCACTGCCCCCCAAGTGGATCTACACTGATATGCCAACCAGGTCTGGTGAGTCTGGAGCTCTTGTCAGTTACCTCTGGAGGCTTAGAACCCCTCTACCTCTCTCCCCAGTGAAGATGTTCAATAAAACGTTATTCTGCATTTTACTACTGGAGTGGACATCAGTTTGTGGGCAGTTGAAGAAGGGCGGTTAATGCTGATGGGCGGGCAGCTGAAGATCATACCCTAGACCGACTAGAGATGAACCGGGCATTCAGCGGCTCCTTCGGGGGTGAGCGCTACAGTTACTAATACCTTGAAATGCTTACCTGCTCAGAACGCACTAGAGTTTCTCTTTAACTCTTATTTTTGTTTTATGTGTTACACAACCATTGCAAAATTAGCAGCGAGGCTTCACATTCCTTATAATCAGCTCGCTGGGACTAATTGTAGGAATGATGTTTAAGCTGCAGATGGGATTGCCAGTAGACCTGAAATAAATCCTGCATGTTGATGTACCCCTTGGCGTTCTGGGATCCCCAAGAGGTGTTGAAATAAGCGCAGCGGCCAGCTGGCACATAGCACGAGTGCCAGCAACAGAGCTGATGTTTGTGTGCGTTGTGCGAAAATCTGCTTCTAACATAATCACACAACAACCTCCACCGGGGAACGCTGCGATCAAAGCAGACAAGAATCAATCAAGGCGCTTAATTGGGCGTATCGCGGAGGGATGTAACGGAACGTCCTTCTCGGTGCCAAGTGGCAAAGCTCGAGACTTAACTAGATTGACTCGATGTGAAAAGAACACAAGATGGAGGATGGTGGCTCAAGGCAGCCCGGAAGGGCAGGAAGCCACATCAGATAAGCTGTGGAAAGACTGGCGGTCATGCAGGCCGCGTTGTGAAGCCAGAGATGGATTATAATACATCTCTGATCTGTCCCTCGTGTTTGTTGTTGAGCTGTAATGATTTTACTACAGAGTGCCCACTTAATTGAAAGCAGATGCGGGTGGAGGGAGTCGGTGAGGAACCTGATGTGAAAAGTAGGGAAAAATAAACATTGGGCAGGTGAAAGCCATTAGTGTGTACCCTGAGGTCTAGGAGTATAAAGGATCAGGTCTATAGTGAAGCAGGTGGCATGTTTCATCCATAGGGGAGAGTGGCACTAGTGTTTATACATCTCCATATCCCATCAGTTCTGCCCTGGGTACAGGATGTAAGAAAGGAGGTGTTACAGTTATAATACTGGCTCTTAACCAGTTGTTGACCTTCGGCATGCAAGCTATGCCCCAAGAACCTTCATCTAAATTCCTACAGCACAACTCAGTCCTTCTCCTTACACTATCCTATGACAACAAATTAGTAGGATCTCCACAGTGAGGACACAGCAAAATGTGAGGTTGTAACCCTCCTGTGCCCCAAAGAAATTTGTAGCTGTAGCTTTATATTGAAGTGAGTCTGTGGTCAGGCTATGAACATTCAAATATTTGCATATTCGTAGCAAGCAGTAAATGAGCTTTAAAACAAGCCCTCACTGACCTCTGTGGCTGCAAGCATTGTGGAGCAAGGCCGTCCGAATAATGAGATAGGCTGAGGAAGTTGCCACAGGTGGATTCTTATTGGGTCACCTGGGGACCCATTAGGTCATATAGCATAACTGCCGCCCCCTTTTCAGCCAGAGGGTCAGAGGTTTCTAAAAGCTCTAAGCAACCTGTGATGCTTTGGTCAGGAACTGAGGGGGACGCTCTGGCTGGTGTCCCACCCAGCTCCTAGCAACCAGTGACATCAGTGAGCTGGGCAATTTGCAGAGCACCACAAGCCCGCCCCCCCCAGAACATCCACCTCCACCACAAGCAACCCCACCCCTTCACACACATGTAACATGCACCAAAAGCAGCTAACACCCCCTCCCTCCAGGAACATGAATCAAGAGCACCCACTTCTTCATCAAGGCTCAGGCAGCAGAACATCTAGGGACGCCACTGCTGTGGAGCAATTCATCCTCAAAGTTTACCGAAGCAGCAGCACCTAAGTCACCCAGATCATTCTGTGAGCAGCTCAGCTGCCCCCTCCCAGAAGTGACTCAGCAGCTCAGCTCTCCTCTGCTCCTCTGCCACATACGTATATGGGGAACCTGAGATGAAAAGGGAGTTTCCTCTTACTGCTCCAGTCTAAATGCCCCTGGGTAGGAAGACAAAGAGTGCAGGGATCAAAGAGTGCCATGAGTGTCGGTGGACGGTGATGTTAATGATGTCACCAGAACTCAAGAGTGATGTCAACAAGCAGCTAGAGGTGACAGGAGAGGAGTGTTGCGTGTTAGGTAGGGAAATAGGCATCTCATTATTTTCCTTTCAGGAGATCTCCATTTCCCTGCTTCACACAAATAGAGGTTAATGTTAAATTTATGGATTTTTACAAGTCGTTTTAAGCCCTGATGATAGAAGGGGGGGGGGCAAAGCTTCAGCCCACTAAACGCGTTGGTTACTGTGATACTCGTATCTCCCCTCGGCCGGGACAACGAGCCGCACGCGCAACTGCGGATGCGCACCGCGAGACTCCTCCCACTCACGTACGGGGTCCGTCGGCGACAATGCGCAGGCGCGCCGCAAGACTCCGCCCACTCACTCGATTAGTCGGCCTAAAGCCGCGGTCCGCCGTTTGATCGGCGTCCCACTATTATTTAAGCAGGACGCTGATCAAACAGACAGCCCTGCTACTCCAGGAACCACTTTGCTGAAGGAGAAGTTGCTGAGATTCCCCCACACGATACCGAGCCACAAAAAGCAAGTATTGCTACCATAGCCATAGGGCTATGGTAAGGAGATACACAGCACTTCCGATGCTATTTGCCTACTCAACTGTCTGCTGTATTGCAATCTAACCTATAGCATTACTATATGCCTACTCAACTGTCTGCTGTATTGCAATCTAACCTATAGCATTACTATATGCCTACTCAACTGTCTGCTGTATTGCAATCTAACCTATAGCATTACTATATGCCTACTCAACTGTCTGCTGTATTGCAATCTAACCTATAGCATTACTATATGCCTACTCAACTGTCTGCTGTATTGCAATCTAACCTATAGCATTACTATATGCCTACTCAACTGTCTGTTGTACTGCAAATGAATCTATCTCATAGCCGTATGCCTAAACACCTGTATGCTTGGTAACCGATTATACTGCATCAGAGCTATATGCCTGCCTAAATCTGTCTGCCGTGTCACAAGGGGAAATCATATATCTGTGGCCTCAAGCTAGTTGCTAGTCTAACCCATAACATAACCACCTGCTTCACCCTGAAGACCTACCTTAGCGGTGAACGCAGGGGTCTTTGTGCTAAACGGGGTGTGATGTGAAGCAGCTCTCTCCAGGCCTTATCAAAACCTTGGCCATCGGAGGTAGAGCTGCGATCTGATACCCGTTCTACAGCCAATTCCACAGCTGTGGTCCAAGGACATTGTTCACCCCTGGGGGGTGGTATTACAGTTACTTGTGCAACCTTCCTTTACATTTTCAAGAAGGAAAGGTCAGCAACGGCAACCTGCGTGTTTCACCTGTGAGAGTTTTCTTTAAGAGCTTCTTCCTGTCTGCATGTTGTGTTGTGGTGGGTTACTCCAAAGGCCGGTTAACATACGTTGTGTTTCAGGTGTTAATGGGAGTTGAACACAATGGAACAAATCCAGAACATACGTTGTGTGCTGCAACGATATGCCCCAAGTCTACCTATAGTAACCCATATGACCCAAAGATGGTGTCTGCACCATGTAATTCTGCAGATGAACTTAAATACAGCATGACCGATGGAAAACACAGTTCCATGCTTATCGCAGTATTTAATACACTATGGGGCACTATGGCCCACGAACATATACATGTTGCCCAGGGGCGTCCCGAGGCTGGGGGTCACCCGGAGCGCGTACTCGGTGACGCCCCTGTCATGACGTCATCACGCATGTGCGCTTTATCATCACGCGCATGCACGGCCATCTAGGCGATACATGCCGGAGCCCATCTTGGTGATGGACGCTGGCAGAGAAAGGAGGGGACCCGACGGCATACCTTATCCTGCCCGGTCCCCTCCTTTCTCGTGCAACTGTCGTGTTCTCAGTCCATGATCAAATGCCCGACTGTCAGTCATTTTGGTGTCACCCCTCCAATGGTGTCACCTGGGTGCGGCCCGCACCCCCCTTGTGACGCCACTGACCGATAGCAGTACTTGGAATGTAGCCAGTCTATGCATCAATTGTTCTTTGTTCAGCAGGTTGTCCCTACCCCTGGTAGATTGATTGTTTCCCCCTGTTGCTTGGGAGTGCTCCAGCATACAGTGTGGGAGGGTAAATTACCAATGTAGCCCCCATCACCTTTTGTGAGGTGGCTACAAGAAATGTAGTGATTGCCTCATATGTGAGGCCCTTCCTCTTGCACCCCCCCATCTTTTCCTACCCATTCCCTATCCTTCTAGTTTCCTTATAGTATTATGATTTCTTTCTCAGAGCTATTCTATTGTTGTAAATGTTGAATTACATGTAGACTTCCAATGTGGGGTTTATAAAGGGAGGTTTAGTTACCGCTACGTTACGTAGCGATCAATCTGGTCCTCCTGACCCCAAGGCGGAAGACTTACGAGGTTTGGTTAATGCTATTGTATAAGTCCTACAGTTACTAATATGCCAAATATGTATATGTATGCGACTGTAGTCAACATTGTTTGTGTTGTAGATATTTTTAAAAAAACTAAATAAAAATCTAAAATGGAAAAAAAAAAGAAATGTAGTGATTGCCAGGGCTGTAGTCAGCCTGGCTAGATTATAGTGGGCATTGATCTGGTTAATTTCAGGTGTCTGTCATTGACAGTACCTACCTGGGTGGAGTGTGACTCTACTGAACTGTGGGACAGCCAATGAGGGGCACCCGCTTGTAGATTGTATTTCCTTCTTACGAGGAAGGCGTACTAACAAACGGCCTCTTGCCTTCACAGGTGTGGGACGTATCTGGATGGACGATGTGGCTTGCAAGGGCACGGAGGAATCAATCCTGCAATGCATCTTCTCTAGCTGGGGCAAGACCAACTGCGGCCATGCTGAAGACGCCGGGGTGACGTGCATCAAGCAGTGAGCCGAACACACTGGGAGCCTATCTATGGAGACATTTAATCCAGGCGGCACACGGGACATTAAAGGAGAACTCCAGTTATATGTCACCTTGTGTGCACTTGATAGTTCTTCTCATTGTGAGCCGCAGATGTCCCTGTACCACAGATTAAAAAATCAAAACATTTGCTATCGCAGCCTTTCGGGATGTAGGAGCGTCCATGGTCGGATGGGATTTTAAGATGGCTTTTTGTCCGCAGCATAAAGAAGAAATGGTGTCACGGGCAGGCTCTGTCTGCTAAAGCCTAAAGGTTTTTTGGAGCAGAACTTCAGCTGACCCGGGTATATAAGTATTCACAAAGTGTATTTACTGGACTCTGTGCTTTGTGTGGAGTTCTCCTTTAAGATGGCAAGTTGTTATGGGACCGTTCTCGAAGCATCCCGGAGAAAAGAGTGTGACGGGGTTATTGTATGGGATTCTGCTTGTTCGCCATCGTCGCCAGAAGGAGGAAATATCAATGTGCCAAGCTTCTACTTCCATGTATTGCAGGTGTTTACTATGATGCCAAAGAAAAAAAATAAAATCACAAGAGCCATGTTATATTGACAAATGCATAAAAAAAAAAAAAAAGATAAACAAATCAGCACAGATATAGTTTACAGGCAGATCGCACATTAGTCTATATGATAAAAAGTTTATTTTATTTTGTACTGTGCTTATTTTTTTTCTACTTTTATATACATGAAATAATGGAAGAGCCAACCGAGTGCTAGATGCTCCGCTAGCTTCTCCGAAGAGCCTTGGTGTAGAACAAAAATGGCTGCCGACGGCTCTCAGCCAATGAAGAGCAGCTATGTAAGGCGTGTGGTACTACAGCTTGAAGAGTGGACGGCAGTGAGCCGCCGGGAGGATTCAGCAGCTGATATTGTGATAACTTGCTGTAAAAAATGTTAAAGTGTGAAGTAAAGGATTTTTTTCAATGATATTCTTTGTTGTTATCCAATTATTGTGCGTGTGAATGTGATCAGTATGAAGCAGGGGTTGGCAACCCTGGAGTGGCGGAGGTCATACCTCTCGATCTCCTGTCACGGCTCTCTGCCGTGACAGGGGAGGGGCTGGATTCCCCCCTCCCCACTCCGATCCGCTAGCGCTGACTGGCGGAACGGACACCAGTCCGTTGGCTCTGCCTCTAGATAGGCAGAGCTAGCTGTCACTCACGCAGCTGGGCGGATCTCGACATCGATGTTGGGATCCGCTCCGGCTGCGGCGTCTCAGTATACCGCTCGCGGTATACTGAGCTTAGGGTGATGGGAGGACGCTAGTTTGTGTCCTCCCGTTACCCTAAAGAGAACTATGGGGAAAAGCCCTGACCCGATAGTTCTCATTTAAGGAGATTAAGGCCCCATTAAAATGTAAGGACGCTTTGAAGAGTTCAGGGTTCAGTAATAAGTAATGCAGTGTGCAGGGCTCAGTAGTAAGTAACACGGTGTGCAGGGGTCAGTAGTAAGTAACACGGTGTCCAGGGGTCAGTAGTAAGTAACACGGTGTGCAGGGGTCAGTAGTAAGTAACACGGTGTCCAGGGGTCAGATATAAGTAACACAGAGTTCAGGGCTCAGTAATATCTAATGAGTTCAGAAGTTAGGAGTAAGTAATACAGATTGCAAAGTTCAGGAGTAAGTAACACAGTAGTATTTAATGCTCAGTTCAGGGGTCAGTAGTAACACAGAGTTCAGGTGTGAGTAGTACTTTATAACGCAGAATGAGTACAGGGGTCAGTACTAAGTAATGCAGAGTGAAGAGGTCAGTAGTAAGTAACACAGACTTCAGGGGTCAGTAGTAACAAAGACTTCAGGGGTCAGTAGTAACAAAGACTGGAGGGGTCAGTAGTAACAAAGACTGCAGGGGTCAGTAGTAACAAAGACTGCAGGGGTCAGTAGCATTTAACACAAAGTTTAGAGGTAAGTAGTGTAGAGGACGGCAGGGCTGGGTGGTAGAAGGCAGGTATATTTTCGCCACTATTTGTGCTGTGGTCCCCTTAAGGGGCCCAGAGGGTTAACCTTCCTGACACAGGAAGCAGCTAAAAGGGCCAGCAACTCCAGAGAGGAGTGTGGGAGTTGAGGAGGAAGTAATCAGCTGTAGCTGTGTGTGAATGTGTCCATTAGATTTCCCACAAGGCCAACCAAGGCCCGGCCTTGGGGTTGCAGGGAGTAAAGGGGCAGCTGGGGTGTGGAATTCCTATGTCCCGATGGCCGGGGCTGCTGTTTTGCTGTATTGCTCCATCGCTGTGCTACTGTGCTTGCCTGCAGGACTAACATTCCTGGGAAGGGAATCCCCAGGTCTGGGACTTTATACAACAAGCCGGTGAGACATCTTTTGTTTTGTTATTTGTGCTGAAGATAAGCAAATATTTGTGTTTATCTTTTTCTGCTGCCCTGCAAGAGCAAATAAAAAGACTTGTGTTTTGGAAAACCCGCTGTGCGAGTGCTCTGTGAGCTCCCCAACATCACAGTAGCAAATAACAAAGAGTTTAGAGGACCGTAGTTTGCAACAAAGATTTCAGAGGTCAGTAGAAAGTAATGAGAGTGCAGAGGTCAGTAGTATGTAACACAGAGAGCAGGGGTCAGTAGTATGTAATGCAGAGGTCAGTAGTATGTAACACAGAGAGCAGGGGTCAGTAGTATGTAATGCAAAGTGCATAGGTCAGTAGTAGGTAACAGATTGCTGGGGCCAGCCCAGTAATATGTAACACAGAGTTCAGAGGCCAGTAGTACCTAAGTGCTCAGAGGACCGTAGTATGCAACAAAGAGCTAAGAGGTTAATAGTTAGTAATTCAGAGTGCAAGGGTCAGTAGTAAGTAATGCACAGTGCAAAGGTCAGGAGTAACTAACAGCCATCTTCCCTCCACAGGCAGATATTTCCCCCTTTGCGCACATCATCTATAACACTAAGCTAAAACCAACCACAGAACATATTCCTCCTTCAATATTCAAATTTATTTACCAGACCTCAGGGGTGCGTGGCAAAGTGAGGGTAGTCCTCACAGGCAGGGCTGGATTTCCCACAAGGCCAACCAAGGCCCGGCCTTGGGGTTGCAGGGAGTAGAGGGGCAGCTGGGGTGTGGAATTCCTATCTCCCGATGCCCGGGACTTGCGATTCCAGGCGCCAGGTGAGTAGTTGTTTTCCACATTTAGCCCTGCTAAATGTTCTTTTGTACAAGTGACCTCGGCAATGTCGCCGAGATCACTTGTATGCAGCCTGCAGGTCTGCCATTCTCCATGGGGGGGTGTGGGGTTGGTGGGTAGAGGGGCGCATTGAGGAACCTGGCCTTGGGTATCACAGAGTCTGAACATTGACCTTCATAGCAAGAGCACCATGATTTTAAGAAAAGCTGACATGTATTATGCTAAAGACGGGAGTGCGAGGCCAAAGAGTAGAATCTGTATAAATGAATACTGATGGAAATGTTGTAGAATGTCACTCGCCAGCAATGCCAGCAACATCTAGCGTTTCCAGCTAATGAGGGAGCAATGGACACAGGTGAGTATTTATCTGCCCTGCATAGTGTTCCTGCCACTGCCAAGTTATCTACAGCAACAAGATCACAAGTGTGCCATGGTGCCAATAGTAGAGCCGCCGCTTCTTCTAATGAAGGGACACCAGTTCACCTGTTTTGAGAATCTCTTTTAGTGCTCTTCAACTGACATTCATAGGAGATGCATTAGGCATGTTAAGCTGAGGAAGAGATCCAGGATGAATCCAGAACCCACTGGCAAGATGATATCTTCTAGATGCCCTGGTAATGTCTCGTAATCTCCTAGATAAGGTTGGAGGTTTTGACTAGGCAAAGGACTATCTGTGCTGGCCTGCAACCCCCACCACCTCTACAACATCGAGCTGCTGGAAAATTATAATGCTAAGGTATAATCTGAAATGTTAATATTGTGCAATAGCATGGAAAACCCTTTAAAACTCTTTGTACAAGATTAGTTCTGCTTGAGCATTACATTTTGGATCTTTACAACCATCCCCAAGAGCAGTTCATCTCCGCCGTCTACGAAAGTACTTGTTGGTAAATGAAAGGGCTGAAGTACAAGTAATTCCCTATGTAAACTTTTTACGGCACATTAACTCGGGTTTCAATGAGGAATTGTGTTTATCCATAAAAAAAATTGTGTGCTTGCTCTCTGGGAAATGGACCAAACACATGGGATGAATTTGGGCATTAACATGGAAACTGTACTGTGTATTGCGCAAGATTTGAAGCTGTTCGAGACACTCAGAGTGATGATGGTCATGGTCTGAAATACAACCTGCCTTGACTTTACTTTGAGAGACATGCAATCGGTAACTTGCCTCTCGTGCCAGATGCTCTCAAGAATTTAATTCGCCAGGAATTCCACACATGTGAAAATTTAATGATGAAGGACCAACATACCAATGAACACTTTAAAACAACATTGAAATACAACATATGTTACATATAGGAGTTACACTGTACAGAAGACATACACTACATCACCTTACCATCACACCTATATGAGCTTGTTGGACATTCATTCAAAAAACATGGCCATGGAGTTGGCTCCCCTTTATTATTATAACAGCGTCCACTCTTCTGGCAAGAAACTGTGGAGTGTCTGTGGAAATTTAATCCCATTCAGCCAAAAGAGTGTTTGTGAGGTCAGGTACTCATGTTGGATGAGAATATCTGCTTTGCAATCCATGTTCCAACTCATCCAAAAGGTGTTCAGGAGGGTTGAGGTCAGATCTCTGTGTAGGCCACTTGAGTCCCTCCACACCAAACCGGTCCTTGTAGTCAGCATTCCAATTTATCACAAAGGTGTTCAGTGGGGTTGAGGTCAGGGCTCTATGCAGGCCACTTGAGTTCCTCCACACCAAACTGGCCAAACCATGTCCTTAATGGAGCTGACTTTGCACATAGGGTCACAATCATGCTGGAAAAGAAAGCGGCCTTCACCAAACTGTCACGAGAAGGTTGGAAACATACAATTGTGCTGTAGCAATAATAGTACCCTTCACTGGAAAGACCTGAACTCAACACATTGGAGGGGCATTCACATACTTTTGGCCACATAGGTAGGTGTGAT